GACCTGGAAGACCCACAGGCGACTTGGAGGGTTGGCCCAACTCTAACCAGACCCTCTGACATCCCAGCCTCCAGTCCAAACCTCTGCCTGGCATTCAGCCTCAGGCTGGAGAAGGGTTGAACTTTAGCCCTATTCTCTCTGGCCTGCCAGTTGGCCAGAGAAGAGCTCAAGGCTCATCCCTTCTGGGTTATGATTCACTCAAGCAGCAAAAGCCAGGGTTGGGGCTGTCTTCTCTATGTGTGAGGCTCAGCACTGTGTGACACTGTGGATGACACCACCCCCACCCAACTGTGGGCCTGTGAATATGAGGAGAGTCAGGGATGGGGCCATATGGGTGGAACAATAGACTCTAAGAAGCAAACCATTGTCTGTGTGTGGAATGTGGACTAGCTGTAGATTACCCAGACACCACCAATGAGGAGTGACTAATTGAAACATAGTACATGGGGAGTGGAATACTATGCAGCCCTCACAAAGGATAAAGCCAGAATGGTCAGAGTTCTTGGATGCAAGCAACGCCCCGTCATGCCTGGCTTATAAAGCAGAAAGGGCCCTACAGGAAAGCTGCCAGGGAGCCTATTTCACAACCCTAGAGGGCACCACTTTGTCCCCATTCTCACTTTACATTTACTTTGCACTGTTCCATTCACATGCTCTCCAGCCCTGACTCTTGAAGCCTTCTAAAGACAGGAACTAGTTCATAGTGAAACAGTCAGAAACTGGGAAAGTCTGCCAAGTTCACCAGCAAGAAACATCTGGTTAGGAACCCAGCAGTGGCCTCCTCATCATCACAGTCACGAACTGACTTCCCAGCTGTGCCTGCCCCCTTGCTTTCTCCCCTCAGGCCGTCATCTTCCCAGGAGAAAGCGCAGAACAATAAACCTCAGCCACGCATCTTGTTTCTTCACAAACAGCCATTTTGTATATATGATGACCCAGGCGGAGTGCTGAACATGCTAAAGGGATCATTTCATTCCACCCTCATGCTAGCTCAGTGGCAGAGGGGACCTTATCACCTCCCTTTTACAGGTGAGAGAACTGGCACAGAGAGGCTAAAATAACTTGCCGAGGCCACACAGCCAATGGCAGGCCTGGGGTCTGAACCAGCTCTCTGCCCCTCTGAACCGCTGCCTGGTGCCAACACGCCCACTGTCCACCTTCCAGGGAATAGAGAAAGGGTTGCTGGCTCCTTGGGTGCCCTGAAAAGACTCATGAGTAAGGCCCCCACTAGGAAAAGTGATCAGACATAGGATAGCGAGAACCCAGAAACATCCTCACGTACATGGTCCGCCAGAGGAAGCAGGCGCCCCGGGAGAGCCAAGGGGAGAGAACAGGCTCAGGAATGGGCCGTCTGGTCCCACGTCTGGTCCCACGTTCCGTGTGTGGGAAACACACCCCACCCACAGCGCTTCCCTTACAACAGGCGCTGGTGCTTCTGCTGGAATTAGTACATTTGACCCTCGCTGTTAGCTCTGCCTTAGGGATCAGGAAGCGGAGTCCCGCACACCGGGATTCTAAACCACGCAAGCTGGCTTGACTAGTCTCCCCTGCCCGCACAGGGAATGTCTGGAAAGACTGCCAAGGAACCACTCGGGAAGGCAGTTAGGGGAGCCAGAGGAGTTCCCCCCACTTGACACCCTCCATTCTATTCAAGGTTAATTTTAACCATGAGTCGGATTTGCTTAAATAATTTTTTTTAATTATGCAAAGATTTTAGTTCCCTGTTTTGTTTGGCCTATAATCAGTGTATGTGTAACCAAAACCTGACCCGTCCTGAGAGGCAGGCTAGAGGGTCAGAAAGCACTGACACCTTCCTGCACCCCCCACTCTCTGACTCCAGGACCTCTCCCGGGTGGGGTGAGGGCATTTGTGAGGGAGGGTGTGAATGAGACCCAGGGAGAGGAGGGGATGGCCCCCTCCGCCCCACGCCACCCCCAGCCCAGTGGCTCTCAAACTTGAGCACCCCCCGGGGGGGGGCTGGCGCATCTCCACCAGCTCTGAAAGGGCAGCTGTGGGGGGAGGGGCGAGTCCCAGCGTGAGCCCCTAGCAAGTCCTGCCACACAGATGCTGCCCGGCCACCTGGCACCCCCGTGCTGCCTTTCCCCAAGGGAGCTTGGGTGAAACTTCATTTTGGAAGCATCTGAACATCATCAGGCCCCCTCTGAGCGGCCCTGAGCCCTGAGTGGGCAGGGGGCAGGTGCCCGGTCGGGGCCACGCCCACCTGATGGCTCCTGAGGCTGAGAAGTGTGAATGCCACAGGGTCATGGACACGCTGGGCACTCTCATCACAGCCTGCCAAGTGCCAAGCCTCTGCACCCCACCAACCCCACCAACCCCGCCCACCAAGTCCTTACCCACCTTCTTTCCTCCCTGCCACGCAGCCTCTGCCGCCCCCGTCAGGACCCCTAACGATGGACCTCCACCTTCTTCTCTTCATCAGAACCTCAGTCCAAATAGCATTCCCCCGACCACCCCACCCGAATAAGCTCCTTGCCCCGCTCCCACATCTCTGTACCTGCGCTGCCCAAAGTCAGCCCTCGGTAGCCCCTTGGGACCATTCAACTTTAATGAATGAGCTAATGTTGAGAATTCAGTTCCTCGTCCAAGTTAGCCATCCCCAGCCTCGCTGCTGGAAGAACTTCACTTATGTGGGACATTGTTTCCTACTCGGAAAGGTAAAAGGGGTAAGAGAGAAAGGAAGGCTCTGGGCAAGGGAAAGGTAAAAGGGGTAAGAGAGAAAGGAAGGGTCTGGGCTGGAAAGGAGCAGGGCTGGTGCAGACTCAGGAGTGTGTGGCTAATGCCTAAGGCCAGATGGCATGTCCAGGCTGGGCACCTCCTGCCAGGGGAGGGGTGGAAGGCTGGCCTGGCTCAATCAGTCTGAGTGTCACATGTCAAGTGCAAGGACGCTGGGACCCAACTCCAAATCAGAGGCCCGGGCCCCATCCAGTGGCCACTGGAAACATTGCAGGAGAAAGTGCAGGTGAGACCAGAAGCAGAGGTCATCCTGGCCAGCGCCAGGGAGGAGGGAAGAGACTGTCTCTCCCCCTTGCTCTCAGGGACCCTCATCAGTCAGACCCCCTGGTTACTGCCTGATCCCCCTGAGGTTTTCTGTGTGGTTTTGGGCAGGCAGTTCTGTCCCTCAGGACTGGTTCCCCAATTGTAAACCAAAAGGATGGATAGTGAGGTCGCATTGAAGTGCTGGGCTTAGTGATCAGCTCATCGGACCCCACATCCAGGTAAGACCAGTCACTCCATCACCCATGCTCCCCTACCCTAACCATGCACCTTCATGCTTCATTCACCTGTGAAATCCCCTGCAGGTATGGTTTAAGGTTGGGCTCAAAGGTCACCTCCTCCAGGAAGACCCCCTCCCTCCCTGCCCTTTACTCCGTCCCCTCAACTGAAGGCTCTTCTTTCTGCTATGATTCCAGTAAGGTGCGCTCATCTACCTGAGTGCTCCCCATTGGGGGGGGGCACACTCAATCATGTCCGAGACTAAGTATGCTAGCTATCATTGTAACAAAAAATGAGCAGTCAGGGTCTCCTTGGTGGCACAAGGGCTTAAGTCTCAAGCCTGTGAAGCTCTTTGCAGCCACTGCAGCAAGAGTTCCATCCCCAGCCAGGGAGCTGACCCACATGGCACAACAGACCTCTCCTGTCTCGCCTGCCGCTCCTGTATTTCAGTCCCTCTGCCTCTTCTGCTCCCCTCTGTCTCTGGTGAATCCTCTCAGCCCCTGCACCTCTGGCCTACACCCCAGCTCTTGTATGCATAAATAAAAAACATTAATTTTTTAAAAAATAATAACCATTCCATTCCTCAAGGCCTAATATGTGCCTGACACAATGTCAGGTGCCTTAGAATAATTTCCTGGATTCTCACGGTTGGGTGACCAATATCAATCCCCATTTTACAGATTTGCCCAGGTCTGGAAATCATCTAGGAATAGAAGCATCTAAGTCACTGCAGTTTGTCCATGCATTTGGGAAATGGCACCGCTTTTAGTCCTTCACTGATAGTGAGGTGTGGGGTAAATGGAGATGCTCAGGCTTTTCATCGCTGGCAGGCGTCTGGGGCTATCACCTGTGACCTAGATTGCGCTGATGCGGGAGGATCTTGGGAGCGCAGGCGTGGGCACGCGTGACTGATGATGCACGCCTGGTTGTGCACTCATGGGTAAGTGTGCACACCTGAGCCTGGGGGCTGAGGATATAAGAGCTGGTGGAAGCGCGTGGCCGAGAGCAGAGCCACGAGAGGACGCCGGCGAAAGCCCGGAGCAAAAGTCCTGTCTGGGGCTGGGCGGCCTGCCAGCCTCCTGGCCCCCAGCCCACCGGCTTGCCCTCCAATTGGTGTGGAAAGCTCGTGAAAGCATGGAAAAGCCACCGCTGGCTCCTGGGCTCTCCTTCACCCTCTGCCTGAATCCACAGAGAACCTGCCCTTGGCCTGCAGGCTTGGCACGCCATGGGGCTTTTTTTTGGGGGGGGGGAGGCTAAGAAGGGGTAGGTTGGTTGGTTTTTGGAAAGGGGCAGATCGAGGGACACTGGCTGAGGAGGCAGAGGCCAGGCCTGCATGAGAGGACCTGACTGACATGGCCTCTTCCTTCCAGGTGCTGGAGGGAGATCAAATGCCAGTGAAACCTACCTATTCGCCCCCAGTTTGTCCATTTACGTCCTCAACTCCCCCCCCCACCCAACTCTAGTGGCTTTTGTGCAAGGTTTGGGGCACCATGTGGCAGGGGGTGTCCTGTGTGCTGAGGAATGCGGGGGCACAGACTTGGCTCAAACCCCAAGGGTTCCGGCGGAGCCCTGCCTTCCTGCGACCCGAATAAGGAGCCATCTGTTCTTGGCTGAATAAACAAGGAGGGGGAAGCAGCGCCTGGTCCCCAGCCCCCCAGCCCGACCCCTGGACAAAGCGCCTTTCTCCGAGGAGACGCCGCCTGGGCGCCGTCTGCCCTCCCCCAGCCCTGGCGGCACAGCAAGACCCACAGACCAACCCCGTGGAAACCAGAATATTTTTTAAGGGAAAGAAACAAAACCAAAAGTCAACAAAGCACTAAGCGCAGCACGCTGCGAGGGGGTGCAGGCGTAGCGCTCCCCCCTCCACGGCCCCCCTACAGGCCGGTTCCTGGTCCGGGCGGCGGGCGAGGCCAGCTCCATCCAGCACAGCACCGGAGCCCTCCAGCGCCGCCTCCCCGACAGCCCAAGCCCGAGGGACCCAGGTTCTGCCAGGTCCCAGCGCCCCAGACGGGCACAGTCCACAGAAATTCGCCCCAGCCCGGGTGCGGACCAACTGTGGCCCTCACTTCTGGGCGGCCAGCTGGTTCTCCAGATCCTCCAGGCGCGCGGTCAGCTGGGCCAGTGGGAGGTTAAGGAAGCCGCTGGGTTTGGGGGGAGGAGGGGGTACCCCTTTACCCTCCCTGGAGTCCCGGCCCCCTGTGCCAAAGGATATGATTCTGCGTCAGACTCTCGAGCGCCCCCAGCGTGCGGCCCTGGAATTCCACGAGGCTTTCGCATTCGCACGGGCTTCGAAGCTCTGTGCCAGCGCCGATGCCCTCCTCTACCAGGGGCACAGAGAGCCAGAGGAATGAGAATTTGCAGGAGGGTCAGCTGGCCATAGCCCACTCTCTCTGATCCCCTCCCCTCCACTGGTCCTGTAACTGGGTGTACGGACTGTGAATTCAGACAGACGTGGGTCGAGTGGCAGCTCATATCTGACAATCTAGAAAACTCATTCAAGTGCTTCTAAGCCTGTTTGTTCTTCGCTGTCAGGTGGATACAGTGAAAGAACCTACTTCTTGGAGGGTGCTGAGGCTGCTACAATGTGTGGACACAGCTTAGAGTTTCTCGAATGTTGATGCTTCTTGAATCACCAAGAGATCTTGTCAACATAGTTTGATCCAGAATGGGAAGGAGTTGGGATGCTACATCAAGTGCTGAGGCCACTGGTCTGTGACCACACGTTGAGAAAGTGTCCTCAGCAGCTCTCTGCAAGTGAAACTTTATGCAGTGGTGGGAATGAATGTCCCTTATCTGCCCTGCCTGCGGCAACAGCCTCAAGTCACAAGTTCCTATTTAACATTTGATATGTGACCAATGCAATAGAAAAGCCAAAATTTTAATTTAACTGAAATGAAGTGAGCACACGTAGCCAATAGCTGCCTTATTGGAAAGTGCCACTACATCAGTGCTTCTCAAAGTGTGGTCCCTGGACCAGTGGCCTTAGCATTCCTGGGAAGTAATCGGACATGCAAATGATCAGATTCCACTCCAGACCTACTGAATCAAGAAACCCTGGGGCTGGAGCCCAGCAAATGAATCTTAGAATTCAGAATATAGAATTCACTGGAATTCTGTAAACATGTGCCATGTTTACTGTTACAGAGCCGTGCCTGACACTTGGCTTTCAATAATGACTCGCTGCTATGATTGAAAAGTTACATCTTAGGAAAGAAGAGGGGAAAATAAATATTTTTTTTAAAAAAAGAAAAGTTACACCTTAGGGCCTCCCTGGTGGCACAGCAGTTAAAGTCTCAGCACTATCATGATCTCATCAGCCACCGCAGCACAAATTGGATCCTGGGAGCCAGGGAGGTGATCCATATGGCGCAGCAGACCTCTCCTGGCCTGCCCGCTGCTCCCCTCGGCAGTGTGTTTCAGTTGATCTGCCTGTTCTGCTCCCCACTCTGTCTCTGGTGAGTCCTCTCACTGCCCCTGCACCTCTGGCCTGTACCCTAGTTCTGTGTGCATAAATAAATAGATCTTTTTTTTTTTAAATAAAAGCTGCTAATCCAGCGCCTCCCCAAAACCCTGGCTAAGTATTAGGATTAGGGGGTGAGGGAAGAAGAGGAGGGATGCAGATTATAGGTAAATACAAATACATATATGTGTATGCATGTATATATATGAAGCATGTGTGTGCATAAATGGTAGATCCCAGGGGCAGCCCCACAAAACTTAGCTCTGGAGAGGCTTGATGATCTAAAAGAGTCACACCTTCAGCCTGGGTTAAAAGCCTAAAAACAGTGACAAAAATTATTCTCCAGCAACTCCCTATGCTGCCTATGAACACAAGGACCCAAGCTTCAATAGCCCACTTCCCAGACAGACTTGATCTCTAGTTCCTAGGAAGCATCCTTTAAAGTAAATGGATTGAAATTATGGACTACATTGTTCCACAAAAAAAAAAAATACACATATTTGTGTACTTGAAACATTTTCTACCCTGCCACTTGCCAGATGTGTAAAGTTGAGTCCAACCAAATTAAAGGGATTTGTGATATGACTCTCCCCTCTTCGGCATGCCTTTGAAAATTACCCCCTAATTACCCTGAATACCCACTAATTTGGGGGACAGTTTGCTTAGTCTAGTGTGTCTTAAACCTAAACATGACTACAGATTATCTAGAGATGGTTGTTAAAGTGTGAAATCTGATTCGTTATGCCTGGAAAGCGCTGTCAATTCCGCACTTCTAAAAAGCCACCGAGTGACAGTGCCGCCCCTGGTCCGCAGACCACACTTTGAGCCACCACTGTTGCTATTGTCTAGCGGTTCCATCCACCGGAAGTGAGAAAGAGGAAGTTGAGCCAAGAGAGGAAGGGGCGGGGCTCCGAGACAGACGGGCTCACCCGGGCAAATGCTGCCCCTGAGGTTCTCCAGCAGGTGCGTCATGGTGCTGAAGTCTGGGGAATAGGACACGTGCAGCTCGGCAGGCTCGGACGCGATCTGGCGCAGCTCCTCCTCCACAGCCTTGCCCACGCCCACGGCGTACATGACGATGCCTACCGGGTCAGGGACACAAGGGCCGCCCTACCCCTCAAGAAAGCCGCCAGGCAGCCAGCCCCAGCCCAGCGCATCTCGTGCAAAGCTCACCTGCTTCCTTGGCACGCGCGGCCCACACCGAGATGTCATCCTGGGAGCGGCCATCGGTGAAGACCAGGCCAACGCGAGGCACATTGAGGGCGCGAGGCCGTGCGCCCTGCGCCTCAGAGAAGCTGTGCTCCACCATGTGGCGCAGCGCCAGGCCGGTCATGGTACCGCGCTCCATGTACTCCACCGCCAGGACCGCCTGCTTCACCTCTGCCGCCGTGCCGTAGCGGCCCAGGGGGAACTCGGTGCGCACGCGGCTGGAGAACTGCACGAGCCCGACGCGAGTGCCTTCGGGGGACACGTCCAGGAAGTCCACGATCTGGTTCACGAAGCGCTTCACCAGCTCGAAGTTCTGCGGGCGCACGCTTTTGGAGCCGTCGACCAGCAGAACCAAGTCCACGTGGCCTTCCCGGCACCCTGGAGGGGAAAAGGTTTCACTGGAAAGAACAGCCAGCTGCCCATCTGGTCACTCATTCGCCAACACTGACTCTAGAGCAAATACCAGTCGTGAAGTCGTTCCGGTGCCAGGCACTGCGTTAAGTGATAAGAACGATGTTATTATCAGAATCCACATCTTTGTAATAGTTGCCATCATTGTATACGCTGCACAAATCAGGCAATCTACTGAAAATACTTTAAGGACGAGTGTGAGATTGAGGAGGAGGGAGAGAAGAGGAAAATAACCAAGCAACCACACTCCAATCGCTCCCAATGATGATCTGCCCATAGTATGTATCACAGAATTCTAACACTTTACTGGTATTGATAATAACAAGTAAAATATTTGTGACAGGAGCTTGGCTAAGCACTTTGCAATAATTCTCAGTACACTGGAGAGTTGTGACCCACTAATTTGATCTCACTATCCACAAAAATCCATTGCCCATGGAAAGACTCAGGGATAGGGCCTTTGATCTTTATTCTGCAGGCGTGGGTGGACGATAGAAGTTTTTTTGAGTACCAGAGCAAGGTGATCAAACAAGCATTTTTGAAATTAACTTTGGCAGCAGGGTCGAGGATTAAGGAGACAGAGATGAAGGCAGGGCATGGCACCCCCCCACCCCCCACTAAAAAGTATACACACAAACACACGCACACCCTTGGGTGCCATGATGGGGCATGGCACCCCCCACCCTTGGGTGCCATGATGCAAGAGCAAGCCAGGGTGCTCAGAACGTGGGCAGCGGGTCGGGGCAGACAGAACACCCTTCCAGGCGTAACTCACGATTGCAGCTCTTGCCATCTGCCTGGAGTTGCCGCCCCTCGGGGCACAGGCAGCGGTAGGAGAGGCCTTCACTCACACACTGGAACTCACATCCATGGTCTACGCCATTGCAGAGGTCCCGGGCTTAAAGGAAAGGCAGGTCGTGATGAGTCAGGGTAGACTGCGCCAGCTTAATCCCCTTGGCACAAACACAGGCCCCACCACCACCCTGACAGCTCCTGCCACCAGGCAGCAAGTCATGGTCCTCTCTGCAGCGGCACTGAGGGCCACCAGAAATGCTGATGTGCTCCTGCTGGCAGCTGTGGTGCCCAACCTGCAGTGGCCAATGGCTGACAAGAAGGCAGAGACCACAGATGTCACTTAGGACTGGAGGCACCACAGGCCTCAGTCCAGGGCACTCGCTGAGGTGTGGGGTGCTCCCTTACCTCTGCAGGTCCTCTGGTCCTGCTGGAGTACAAAGCCAGCATGGCAGCGACAGAAATAGGAGCCTGGGGAACTGACGCAGTGATGCTCACAGCCGTGGGTCCCTTCAGTGCACAGGTCGATGGCTGAAAAAGAAGTGAGGTCAGCAGGTGCCAAGGAGGCACTTCTCCCTGACAGCCCACACTCTGAGCAGCTTCAGAAAAACACCTATGTCTAGCCTAACCCCAAAGATCCTACTTATTCGCTCTGGGCTGTACCCAGACATCATAGTTTCTATAAGCACAGGCCAAGTGAGTCTCCAAATTCAAGTCCTAGAAACATCCCAGATGTCCCCTACTAAGCCAGGCATAACAATAGGAATTCACAGTTGTAGAAAGCACCGTCCTGCCCTCAAGATGCTTACTGACTGACAGGGAAGGGCCAGCTTCTGCCACTTCCCTGTCTGCAAAAAGGGAATATAATGGAAGAGCGCAATTGCTATTTGCAACTTCCTTCTGCAGAGGGTGGAGAATTATTGTCCTGCTGAATGTGTTGGGGACCTGAAGGTGCCATCCAAGAGCTGAGCTGGAAACTAAGAAGGGAGACAGGGGAATAACTTGGTATAAGAAAAGGTGAGAATGTGGGGTTCCTAGGAAAGAGATGGGAGCGGAGGGGCACAAGAGAGCATGAAGGTGAGTAACTGAGTGAGCTGAGGTTGCCACTACTGGCTGCCCCAACAGTGGGCTGACTGAGAACTTGCAGAGACAAGTGTATTGAATTTTCAGTTGTAAATGATGGGTGTTTCGCTGTGTGTGAATGTTTGGTTTTGTTTAAATATAACTCGCATTGTCTCTAGTAAAATGGACATGAGCACACTTACCTATGCCAACACATACCTGTGTATGTACAAGTATGTTAATCAAGGAAGAAGCTGAGATGCATGCATGGAACAAGAACATTGTGGATCGACAGAGAGGATCCACAAATTGAATGGATTTGGCAAAAGTTCACAATGAGAGGTGACTCCACTCAGGGAATTCCCAGGCGTTTGAATCTTTATGAATCATCCATTGGGACTTCAAGCCAGCCTCTGCTAAATTTCTAGAAAAAAAGCTGACATCGGGGTTGTTGGAATCAGGTACCCTCTTTTTCTAGGTGGCTGTGAGGCTGAAGATCGTGTATGTAATATTCCAACCACAACATCTGATGCTAACTTGGCAGCATAAATGGAAGCTACAATTATGATCAAAAGAGAGGACACCCGTACACAAAAGCAAATCCCCATTGCACAAGCCAGGTATTGTGTGCTGTTAATTTTCCTGAAAACAAAAATGAAGAACTTGCAGGTGTAGAAAGGAATGGTGTGGACAGCCCCATAAGAAGAGTGTGCTGAGATGCACAACAGGAATGACTGATGTGTTTAAGTCACAGAAACAGTAAAGATGTACCTATGAGAAGACACAAGTTTGGGGGTATATGGAGCCAGGAAGGAGACCAGCCTGAGATGGGGCAGGCAAGATTTATAAAGCACACTTAACTGTGGCTCAAAATTTCTATACTGGTCCCACCAAAGACTTGAGTGAACCCAGGCAATACTTCCCCTTTCTTGGTGGTGTAAAGTGCAGGAGCTGGGCTTTTACGTCCAAAGGCCCTTCCAGATACACTGGTCAGGTGCTGGGACAACAGGGCCCAGCCACAGATGGTCAGGAGCAGTGGAGGTGGGAGGCAAGGGCAGTTCTCACCCAAACAGCTCTTGTTGTCTGCTGCTAGCTGGTAGCCGGGGTTGCAGGCACAGTGGTACATGCCCGGGGTGCTGATACATTGGTGCTGGCAGCTGTGTCTCCCCTCAGCACACAGGTCCCTTCCTGAGGATATACACGACTAGAATCAGCAGGGGGCAGACAGAACCCGCCAACAAGAGACAGTACATGTGATCAGTGGCAGGTGCCAAGTTCAAATATGGCCTTAGGTGGCATATAACTCCTGTAAGAGGGGAAGGGTCAATCCAAGTAGGTTGGCTTCTAATACGAGGGTCTGACTACTCTCAGAAGAGGGGTCCCCAGGGCTAGATTTGTCAAAGAAGGGGACAGGACTGCGCAGGGGTAAGAGAAGACAGAGAGGTTCTGAATTAAGGCCTGAAAAGTAACCCAGGGTGTGACTAGGTCTCCCGCAGCACGGTGGGCGTGGCTAGAGCTAGAGTGGGCGGGGTCACTCCGTGTGGGTGGGGCTCCAGGCCGGAGCTCTTTTCCAGCTTAGAGGAGCCCAACTCCCTGGGTCGCCGGGAGGTGCTGAAGTGTGACGCTGAGCCAGTGCAAACCTCATCCTTGCGGGCGCTGCTCGCTAGCGAAGCCTAAGCAAAGGTGGGCAGCACTGAAAGTATGCACAGCCTGCACGGTGTGGGGGTTGGGATGGGGGCCTGGGGGTGGGGGGGGCAAAGCAATGCAACACTAGGGGTGAGCGGAGCGACAGCTGGCGCGGGGTCCCCGGGGATGGGCGGGAATTTACTGTAGAGGGACCCGGAATGGAAACCGTAGAATCCGAGCCCGGCTCCGGCGCTCCCTTGACCCACCGCACAGCCGGCTTTGGAACTGCAGGCCAAACTGCTGGATAAGATCGAAGGACTCCACGAGGAAGACGTGCTCGTCCAGCGGGTGAGACGCCATGGCGCGCAAGGAGCCCACGTCGGCGCGCTGCACCCCCACCGCGTAGATCTCGATGCCGCGGGCGCGCGCCTTTGCTGCCACCTCAGCCACACGGTCCTGGGGTCGCCCGTCCGTTACGATGACAGCGATGCGCGGCACGCGCGCCTCGGGAGGGCGCGCGCCCTCCGCTACGCTGAAAGCCACGTTCATGGCGTACTGGATGGCCAGCCCGGTCATGGTGCCCTGCGCCAGAGGCACGAGCGCGCGGATGGCGCGCTCCATGTCCTCGCGGCGCGAGAAGGCGCCGAGCGGGAAGACACTCTGCACTTGACTCGAGTACTGGATCACACCCACGCGCGTGGCGTTGGGCCCCACGTCCAGGCCGCGGAGAAGGCCCATCAGGAACTGCCGCATGGTCTCGAACTCGAAGGGGCGCACGCTGCGCGAGCTGTCGATCACAAACACCAAATCCAGGGGCCCCGAGCGGCACCCGGGACCTACGAGAAGATCAGGAGATTTTCCTAAGTCAGCAAAGACCTCCGAGGACCGCCCCCGCCCCACCCCAGGGTGAAATGGGGCTTCCCGATATAACCGCGCCCAGCACAGAAGTGACCTGGCAAGTGCAGGTTAGAAACATTCACCCCACAATTGCTGAGAGCCAGTGTAGGGAGCTATCCCGAAGCAGTACTGTCTCAGGAAGGTGGGGGACGGCGAGGGGGGAGAGGGCGGCGGCTGCGGGGTCTGTGGTCGCAGCCTCTGGGTTTTTCAAAAGAAATCCTAGTCGGGATTTTATGTGAAAGCTCCAGATTGCTTTTAAAATTTTAACAGCAGATGGGCAGTTCTGCATAAGCCCCACGTTGTCGCCTCTAAGCCACACCCTACAGGTGAGAACACTGAGGCCCAAAGGGGTGACGCGGTGAACTCAACTCCAGGCCCCTTCGGGAGCAAAGCCCCGGTTCCTCTCTCCCCGCCGCCTCGCTGAGGGCAGCTGGAGAACCGGCTTTGGTCCCCAGCCGTGCCGGTGAGGCCCCGCCGCTCACCTGCGCGCTGGAGCTGGGCTTCCCGGGGCTGCAGGAGGAGAAGCAGGGCGAAGGGGCCGCACAGAAGCCCCCTCATGGCGCCTGGGGGACAACGCCGGAGCTGTCAGAACCTGGCGGGCGGAGGGGAAATAGCAAAACGTCAGTATTTGCAGACCTCTTTTTCTGGATGGGCACGTGGAGGGGGAGAGGGCCGGAGTTTATTTTACTCTTCTCTACTTGTGCGTACGTTTGAAAATTTTCACACAAAAATAATTCATGAAATGGGCTTGCTGGGAAATGCAAAGAATTTGTAAACTCGCAGAATGGTAAATAAATCGAAAGTAGTTTTTTTTTTTTTCATTACAACATTTAAAAAGAAAACGCCTTTTCCAAATGCCAAGCACGGTATTAAATGCTTTTCACATATCGTGGCGCTTCATCCTCTGGGCATTCTGTATGAAGCTCTCTCTTATTTACCCAGAAAAACGTTAAAAAAAAAAAAAACAGCGTTTACCTAGAAAAACGTAAGCACTGGTTCCAAAGCTCCAGGGAAAGAAAGCGCGGCGCCAGGACACAATTTTATTTCCTTAGGGTTTCCAGGGACCGCCAGAATGTTCAGCGCCCCCTTCTCCAGCGAGGAGCACCGCTGTAGATGGAAGCCATTTCTCCCCCGCGGCCCCCTAACACTCACACATACCCCACCCAACCGCTAGCCGCATCCTTTTTCAGGGTGGAGGTGCAGGACTTTGGGCAAACCCAACGGGCACTCGAACCGTGCCGAGCCGCGCCGCCTCTTCCCGCCTGCTTTCAGCAGAGGCCGCCAGAGGGCGCCGCTCCGCGCCTGGCTGCGTCTGCGAGGTTGCCGTGGGAAGTCGCAAGGGCCAAGCAGGTGCCCCTGCCCTGAGCAAACAGGGCCCAGGAGCCCCGGGGCCTTGGAGATAAGGCCCGGGCAGGATATATCCCGCTCGAGGGCCGAAAAGCAGGGGTGCTGAGGACAGCGGAGTTGCATACCTCCGGAAGGGCAGTGAGTGGCCGGGCCATGGACTCTGTGGGGGCAGCAGGTAAGCCCTCACCCACCAGCCACCCGTGGCGACGCCCCTTGAGAATTACAAAGGACTCCCGTTGTACAGATGGGAAAATTAAGGCCAGAGAAGGAGGCCCTCCTAGCTGCAAGGGGCTCTGTCTCTGCCTCCCCTCTGGCTTCCCAGCGGCCACGTCTGGCGCCTGGGACTCAGCAAACCTCTTTCCTTCTGTTCACTCCCTCTGCTCCCTCCTGCGCCTCCGGGCGCCCCAAGATGCAGCAAATTTCACCGTTTTTTCTGTAGCTCTTTCTTGCCAAGGGGGCCAGCCGCCCCTAGCCCAACCGCAGCCCCGCCCCTCCCGTCTGTGAATGGGCCTATTCTGAGCGAGGTCGGGGCCTGCCGATCACTCCAGGCTGCCTCGCTGTCCAGCTCCTTTCTGCTTCCTCCTTTCAGGCCTGGTAGAGGAACAAAACTCCCTCTGCCAGGGCCCGTCATGGGAGGGTGACTAAGCCAGATGTGCCAGCTGCTGCTGGAGGTGGAGGGTGAGGCACGAATGCCTTCTCTAGTGTGGCCACAGCTGAGGCCAGCGCTGGGGAAGAAGGCAGTCAAGACACAAAGAGTCTCTGGGAGCCTCTGGGCGCCCTCCCCCTGATGAAAGCGGTCCTGCGCCAGCATCTCACCTGGCACCCCAGGAACCCCAGAAAGTCAGGGTTGCTAGTGCTTCCGAGTTCCTCACCTTCCCAACCCCCTCATTCCACAGAAAGAAGGTCCAGAAAGGATGGTGTCTGGCCCACGGTCACTCAGCAATGTGGTGACTGGCCTTTCTGCGGGGTCATCCTGACAGTAAAAGGACTTGGAGCTGGCCTTGGAGTGGGGAAAGCAGGCTCTCAAGGATGGAGAGGGCTGAATAACTCCTCAAGAATTGGCACACTTTGGGGGTGTGCCATGAGGGAAAAGATTAGGGAAAGTAACCCCCCACCCCCGCATTTTGATGACCTCGTTAGTTGGGACTCAATTTGGAAAGGACCCCTCAGAAGTGGGGAGTGTCAAACGGGGTGGTCGTGCTGCAGGGGGTAAATACCTAGTCTATCTAGTCTGGCTTGACCTCCCTCCACCCCTCGCACAGACCCCTCGGCGCCCCCAGGCCCTCTGACTCACCTAAGCCTACCGGGCAATTTGGAGGCGCGGCCGCTGAGCGGAGCGGACGGGCGGAGCCTCGCGGGCAGCTGGGCCAGGTAATGGCGCGGGCAGCGTGCCCGAGGTGGGGACTGCCAGCAGCTGGGGCGAGCGGAGGCGACGGCCGCATTTAACCCGGGGCAGGCGAGTGGGAAGGGGCAGCGCGGCGACGACCCTCCCACCAGCAGGGGGGACCCTCCCTTCCAATGACTGGGGCGGGGCGAGCGCGCGCCCCCCTGCTCTGGCCCCCTTGCAGGGGCCTGAGAGCTGCGGGGCGGGAATCCGGCGGCCGCGGGAGACTGGCGGCTGCCCTCGCGGCAGGCGGAATGCTTGGAAGCCGCCGAGCACTCCCCGAGGCGAGCCCCAAGGGGCGGAGCGCAGCGGCCGCCGGCTGCCTGGCCCCGCTTCCGAGGGGCGGCCCGGGCTCCTGCTCGCGGCGTGGGAAGAGATTCTGACGCAGGTCCCGCCCAGAGGATCAGGGGCTGCCTTCGGGCCCCACCTGGGGCGCCCTCAAATCTCCGCCTGCACCCCTTGGCTTGTTCTCTGCAACTGCTGAGGTCTCCGGCCCGCCTACCCTCACCCAGCAAAACTCGCATGCTGAGCCCCCTGCGGCTCCTGGGGCCCACTGACCACCCACAGCGCCAGTCGAGCCCTGAGCTCTAGGACAGGACCCCGAGACTGTAACCGGCCTTTTCTGAGAGAAGCAGGAGAGGGAGGTTGCTGTGACCTCCATCCGGCTCAAGGGACCCCCCAGCATCCCGGGAACCCAGTTGGTCCCTTCGTGTTTCCAGGCATTTGCAAGGAGCACCCTGGTCTTGGGGTCCAGCAAAGCCTCTTGCTTCTGGCATCAAAACTCCCCTGGGGCAGGCTGCTCCCGGGTGCAAAGAAGCCAGGCAACCTCATATACCCTGTTCCCCCACCAAGACTAAAAGGAGTGCAGTCCTAAGGCTCCCTGCTCCAATGGTGGGGGCCAGACCCCCATAGAGGCACGTACACATCCTGGTGGGCTCCTGCAGGCTCACTGAGCACCACACCCACCGAATGTTTTGCACCTGAGTCCTCTCCCTCACTGACACCACCTGTCCCCAAGGAGGTGGCTCCGCTCACCCATTTATTTCATTCCACCGCCTTGCTTCGTCCCGCCTCCTCTCCCCTCCCTGCCCAACCGCCAGCCCTCGCTCTGCCGGCCTGCCCTCCCTGCAGGTCATCCCCAGAGAGTGCCACCGTCCTGAGGGAAGGTGTGCGCAGCTGCCTGCAGCTGCAATGCGAACAGACCGTGCGCATCCTCCACGCCAAGGTGGCCCAGAAATCCTACGGAAATGAAAAGCGGTAGGTTCTTGGTAGCTTGGTCCAGTGCCGATGCCCCCTCCCCTCGTGTCTTTTAGAACCTGGGGAGGACCCAGCGTTCAGCTACCTGCCCCCTGAGCTCCGCCCCGCCCCATGCCCCACCCACTGTCCTCTACAGCACCTCCCCGAGAATCCACAGTCCCCACTCATCCCCACAGCGGCCCAGTCCTTCATTCTAGGGCTCACAACTGCTCGCTGCCTGCTTGTCTCTGGACGCTGCGCTGCTGGGCACAGGGCACTGCTGGACACTGGGCACTGCTGGACACTGGGCCCACCACCCAGCAAGGCAGGTCCGGTCCTGCTCTGTAGTATCCCCACCCTAGTGTGAAAGAGACAATGTACCCATAAGTCAGCAAAGGAGATTGGTCCAGGTTTTGATGAGAGCCAGAGGAGAAAGTGAACCAGTACCCTCACTGCAAAGGTCAGGGTGGAGGAAGGGCTTTTAGGGAGGAAACATCTGAACTGAGACTTGAATGTGAAGACCGAGCCAGGCATGAGAAAATCTGGGCCAAGCAGGTTCCAGTGAGAAGGAACAGAAAATGCCAAGGCCTTGAGGCTGTGCGGACTTGGCCAGCTGGAGGGCCTATGAAGGGCTGGACCTAGGCGGGGAGGTGGGAGGAAATAAAGCTGGAGAGGCGAGGGTGTCCGGTCATGTGAGGACTCGGAATTTAAAACATCAGGGGTTTAAGAAGATAAGTAACGTGCTGTTAAAACAACAACAACGCACAAAGCCCCGAGACTGCTGTGTGAAGGGGGTGGGGGGATTGACAGGCCAGTGGAAGGCCAGGCCCAGTCCAAGGGAAAACTGCCCGCTGGAGCTGCCCATGCCGGGTGGCCAGAAGCCAGGGGTTTTGGGTATGTTTGACCACATGGACAGGACTTGCTGATGGGCTGAATGAGGGAGTGGGACAAGAAGGTTTGGCGGTGAGTGGGGTTCACAGTCAAGAAACAACTGGAGAGGGCGGTGGAAAGGTGAGAATGGCGATTTTGTTGGATTTGTGCTGCCTTGGAGCGGGGACCCGGGGGTAGATGAGGCAGTGCCCATGTGTCTCCGCAGGTTCTTCTGCCCCCCGCCCTGTGTCTACCTCGCAGGTCCCGGCTGGAGGGTGAAGCCAGCGCAGGGGCAAGGTGAGGGTGGGCTCCTGGGCCGTGGGGCACCTCCCTCTTGCGGGGTGGGGGGGTCGCCGCAGAGCTTGGTATCTCGTGGCTTTCGCCGATGCATCTTGCGCGCCACCTGGCGGTGAGATCTGGGTGGTGCCCAGATCTCTGGTCTTGCTCGCGCGGTCCCTTTCCAGCGCACCAAGCTGGTGAGACTGGGCCCACCGTCTGCGGTTACATGGGGCTGGACGGCGCGTCCGGCAGCGCCGCCGAGACGCAGAAGTTGAATTTCGAAGAGCAACCGGACTCCAGGGTGAGAGCACACGGGAGCCGACTCCCCTTGCTAGCGCGTGAGAACTCATGTACCACTGGCTGAAGCCAAGGCGTCGGAAGGGAGGGAGGCCGGGAAACCCGGGTTCTGCCTGAGCCCCAGAGCCTGAATCATGCTGCCTCATGTCAAGTCCGATGGGGCGGGCGAAACCTAGCAGGGAGGTCGCTTCATCCGGCGGCGCAGGGCTGGGCTGAGACGCCCCATCCCCGCGAACCCCGTAGGAATTCGGCTGCGCCAAGACGCTGTACATCTCCGACGCCGACAAGAGGAAGCACTTTCGGCTGGTGCTGCGGCTGGTGCAGCGCGGTGGCCGGGAGCTGGGCACGTTCCACAGCCGCCTCATCAAGGTCATCTCCAAGCCCTCGCAAAAGAAGCAGTCGCTGAAAAACACCGACCGTGAGCGGGCCGGGCCGCAGGGCTGCGCGGGGAGGGGCCTGTGGGTCCGCGCCGTCCAGGATCGGGGAGAGGCGGGGCTGCAGGGGTGGGGTCAGAGAGGGAGGTCGGGCCTCGAGGGGCGGGGTCTGGGGGAGCCGCGGCCTGAGGTCTCCAGGGTTAGACAGCGCCGAGGTAGATACCGCGGAGGAGCGGGCAGGGGTCTTGAGGAACACGCCAGACTAAACCTCCTGCGGACGCAGGACTCCAAACAGACTACAGGTGACCACAAAGGACAGAGGAAATTAAAAGTTCTTGCTGAGAGGCTGCTGTACGCCTGGGCTCCGTGCTACGCCCCGGGAGGTGGGGGTGGGGCTAAAATAAAGACGAGTGTCTGCGGTTGCAGAACAGCGCACCTGCCCGCAGGAGAGGTGCTTGGGATAAGTACTGTCCTGGGGCCCCGGTGGCAAACCCCAGGACCAGGGCTTTGAGACTATGGAAAAAGAACAAGTCAAAGAAAGAGAAAAAATCCTGAATAACAGTAAGAACGCACCTCTGTCCTCACTAGGAGGCGAGAGCGGGGGCAGGAGAAGGGGCCCTCCTGGTGGGCATTTGCAGGCCCGGCCAGTGACACTCACCCTGATCCATGAGGTGGGTGCTAACCCTAGCATTGCCATAGTAGGGAAATAAGATCTGGGACGTTTGTCCTTCATTTGAGTACTGTTTGGGACTGCAGCGTGCCAGGCGACTTGCCTGAAACTGCCCAGCTAACAATGGACTCTCCCAGAAGCCCTCATGAGCCCAACCCCGGCCACTTCCGGTGCAGCTGCTACCTTTAGATAGCGGCTGCCTCCCCCTGAGACTGTGAACGCTTCCTCAGCAAAACAGGTAGCCAGTGCCCAGCGCCATGCCCACCACAAAGCAGGCACATGGGAAAGCCTGGCACAGGCCTAAGGGGAACCGGCAGAGTGCGGAGCAGGACGCAGCAGGCACTGGATAAATGGAGGGTTCAGTGGAACAGGAGGGTTCAGTGTGTCCAGGCTGGTGGGCACAAGAGTAGACGGGCCCAGGGGACGGAGGCTGGGCAGTTGGCCAGTCGCAGGACAGAGTGGCAGGCACTGACTGCCCTCCCCCCCACAGTGTGCATCTCCTCGGGCTCCAAGGTGTCCCTCTTCAACCGCCTGCGCTCCCAGACAGTCTCCACACGCTACCTCTCGGTGGAGGACGGGGCCTTTGTGGCCAGCGCCAGGCAGTGGGCCGCCTTCACGCTGCACCTGGGTAATCGGCTGGGCCCTGTGCTGGGGCCGAGCACTTCCCACGCACGGGGCATTTAGCTTCACCACAACTCCTCAAGCAAGTGAACATCGCCCCCAGGGAGCTGAGGCTCAGAAGCAGAGCCCCGAGGCCAGCCCAGCCTCCCCCCCACCCCCCAAACACACACACAGACCTCAGCCTCAGCCAAGGGACACAGGAGTGTGAGGAGGGCGGTTCCCCAGGATGAGAACCTTGGGCCTTAGTCCCCTCCCTGCAGGCCAGTCCAACCCACAGGACCCAGGAGCGGTGAGAGGTGGAGCCAAGGCTGGCAGGGCAGGATTTGAGTGGAAACTTGACACCCTGAAAGTCTCCTTCTCCTCCCACCCCCAGCTGATGAACACTCATCCCAGGGGGACTTCCCGCCTCGAGAGGGCTATGTCCGCTATGGCTCCCTGGTGCAGCTTGTCTGCACCGTCACAGGCATCACACTACCTCCAATGGTAAGGGAAGAGTGGGCACGCCTGCAGGGGGCACCCCAGAGCCACGGCAAGGGTGTGACTCGCTTTGGGCAAGGCTGGAGAGAGGGCCAGGGCCGAGGACACCCATTCTCACTGGGGAAATGCAGTGGTTTCTGGGGCTGG